CACATAAATAAGTTAGCTTCAAATAAGTGGCTGAAAATAGGTAACTTATTCCCAGAAACAGAAGGATTTATAATAGCTATTCAAGACCAGATCATAAACACAAAAAATTACAGAAAATATATAATCAAAGATCCTACAGTAAATAATGACAAATGTCGCAAATGCCACACACATCCAGAAACTATTCAACACATCACAGGCGCATGCACAACTCTTACACAGACTGACTACACTCACAGACACAACCAGGTGGCCAATGTCATTCACCAAAAACTAGCTAACTTTGAGTGCTAGTCACGCACTCATTCAAGATGCCAACACTCCGTACTACAATTATACACCAAAACCTACTCTAGAAAACACATCACATAAACTTTTTTACGACCGCGGCATTCTCACCGATAGGACAATCCACTATAACCGACCAGATATAATTCTACAAGATAAAATAAACAATATTACTTGCCTGAAAGACATTACAGTCCCCAACACACACAACTTGCAGAAGACGATAACTGAAAAAATTAGTAAGTACGCAGAACTTAAAGATGAAGTGACTAGAATCTGGCAACAAGAAAAAGTATATGTGGTCCCTATAGTCCTCTCCACAACAGGTGTCATCCCAAATCATCTCCTCCGTAGCTTAAAATTATTACAACTAAAAGAAACTCTATATATTACACTTCAAAAAGCAGCTATATTAAATACATGCAGAATAGTTAGGAAATTCATGCAGATAGAAGAAAATGAAATAGGACCTCATCAAATCACACGAACTACACTACACACCACACGCTCCATTTGCTTTGGCTTCGGCCCGTAAATGTAGTTGAAATCCAGCCTAGATCTGAGAAGTGAAAACACTTACCGTAAATAATAATAATAATAAAAATAATAACGACGGACTCAATTCTTTTTGGCGCCGCGCTGGCAGTCTGCCGTATCATAGGCGCCAAGGTTTCCACGGCTGGACGCGCTACTGGCCATTGTAGCGCTATCCCAGCATGGAGAAGAAGAATTGAGGAACGTATCGCAAAGGCTAGAGCTCTCATCGGCAGGCTGATATGCTTCAGATCAGGCAACAACAGGCCAAGAATTGTGCGCACCGTCAGGATGGCGTTTGCTGGGACAAATGTCAGTTTGTCCCAGCCGGATATAACGCAAAAACTGACGGAGCGCATAGATGATCTGAAGCAGAGAATCGCTGCTTGGGAAAAGCGGATTCGGCGATATACCGAGAGGTCGACACGGTTCAACCAGAATCGTCTCTTCCAGAGTGATCAGAAGAGGCTCTATGAATCATTGGAGCGACCAATGGTAAGTGGAACGGGTCCAGCACCGAATCAGGCCGACACTGTAGCATTCTGGCGCGGCCTGTGGTCAGAGCCCGTAAACCACAGCGAGGGCCCTTGGACGGAAGTTGTGGCGAGTCAGTGTGCGGGTATTACGCCCATGGACCCCGTCATCATAACGCCGGATGACGTAGCTGAGGCGGTCCGTAGGGCCCCGAACTGGAAAAGTCCGGGGCTTGACGGGCTGCATCACTACTGGCTGAAGGGGTTCATGGTGTGTCACTCTGTGCTCGCCCGACAGTTTCAAGAGGCTCTCAACCAGAAGTCGCTCCCAAGCCTCTTCATTACTGGGATCACTCATTTGGTTCCTAAATTCCAGGGTACCAAGCAAATACCGCCCCATCACGTGTCTACCGACCATATACAAGACACTAACATCCATTTTGAGCGCGAGAATCACTAGTCAACTGGACTCAAATCAGGTGATGTCGCGCGCTCAAAATGGATGTCGGGGGCGGTGGTCGTGGAACCAAGGAAACACTCCTCATTGACGCGGTCATTGGCAAAGTGGTGAAACGCAACCGTCGGAACTTCTCCGCCGCCTGGATAGACTACAGAAAGGCATTCGACTCGGTGCCCCGTACATGGCTAAAGAGAGTCCTTGAGCTGTACAAGATAGACTGTACAGTTAGAGACTTCCTCAAGCAGTGTATGGGGCAGTGGAGTACGATCCTTTGTCATCTGGGCGAGCGGATAATGGCTGCGGAGAACCACATAAGGATAAGAAGGGGTTAATAGCTCATCACAGGTCCACCGATAAACATAGGCCTCCTCCAAGGAATGCGCAAATGACAGTCCTGAGTCACGTGGCGTAGAAGTGAGCGGACGCCCTACAGTTTGCTGGTATCAGGCTGCCCCTCGAGAACTTTTCTTACCCAATCAACCAAAAGCCAAATTGATAATTAAACGTCATGCGGTCTTTGTACCAACTCGCTACGTCTCCGCGTTACTCATAAAATTAGAGTCCGTTTAAAAAATTCCGGACAAGGTTATAGTGACCAGGCGCAAGATCAATGGATTTACGTGATTTCTAAAGCATGAAGATGAAACACCGCCAACTTCCTGATTCCGGGCTGTAACTGAACATTCCTTGACAGATTAATCCAATAACTGATTTAGGCCCGACCAGGGATTCGAAACCGGGAACTCATGATCGGCAATCGCGCTTACTACCACTAGACCAATGAGGCAGTCAATAAGCTATTAAATTATAATTCTTCCAGGGCGATTGTCTGAGTCCAATCTGGTTCTGCCTCTCTCTGAACCCTCTCAGTACCTTACTGGAGGACTCCGGGAGGGGATTTCAGCTACGGAAAGGAGGGACAAAAGTGACCCACCTTTTCTATATGGATGACCTCAAGTTATTCGCCTCCAGTCGCTCCCATCTTATGGAATTGCTAAACATCACTTGTGAATTTAGCAATTCCATTGGAATGGAGCTTGGGACGGATAAGTGTGCGGTCCTCCATGTTGAAAGGGGAAGGGTTGCTAACTCTGAAGGCGTAAACTTATCTATGCCCGTCAACTTAAGGACCCTTTCCGAGGCTGAAACATACCGATACCTGGGTATGTCACAAAACATCGGTATCGATGAGACTGGTATGAAACAGTCAGTTTGCGACGTGTTTTATGCACGCTTGACCAAAGTGCTTAACAGCCTTTTTGTCCGGTGTGAATAAGGCACACGCATATAACGGCTGGGTCATGCCTGTCCTCATGTATACCTTTGGCATACTCAGGTGGACTCAGACTGAACTTAACGCCCTGGATAGAAAAGTCCGCACTACCATGACGTCCCATAGGATGCATCATCCGAGATCGTCGGTAATGAGGCTGTACTTCCCGCGGAAGCATGGTAGTCGTGGCTTCTTGAGCGCGCTCACCATGCATAATCGCGAAGTGTGCAGCCTCCGTGATTACTTCCTGGCGAGATCGGATAATCCATTCTATAAGTAATATAATATACTAATTGGGGTGTCTGAGGGTGTGCGTTGATTGCGTTACATATTGTATATATGTATATGTATATGTAGATATATGTATATATATATATATATATATATATATATATATATATATATATATATATATATATATGTGTATATATATGTATATGTGTATAATATCATATAGTTAACATAACAACAAGATGTCATAGGTTTATATATTACTGTGTTATTTATATAATTGTATGTTATTGTGTCCAATATTAGGAGTACATAAGGTGGTTCATTGCTATGTAAAAGAGCGCCTCTCGCCATCAAACGTGAAAGTTTGGCGGGTTTAGAATTAAGTAACACCACTGTCTTATAAATTCATTAATAAATAATAAATAAAAAAAAAAAAAAAAGGACGTCATTTCTTGTGATAAAGGACTTACCCCTCTATCCTTAGCCAACGAGCAATGGCAAGACCCGGCAGTGCAGAGCATTTCCGACCGGGAGACCGTATGGAAGGAGAAGGAGCTCCACGGGAGGTTCTACAAGGCTCTACATGAGCCTTTCGTAGACACAGTAGCCTCCCTCCACTGGCTACGCTTTGGTGATCTCTTCGGGGGAAACCGAGGGTTTTGTCTGTGCAATACAGGATCAGGTTATTAAGACCAACAACTATCGGAGATACATCCTAAAGGATGGCACCGTCGACGTCTGTCGAGCTTGTCGCCATCCGGGGGAGTCACTTAGACATGTCATCTCCGGTTGTTCGGCGCTTTCTAACTCTGAGTACTTGCACAGGCACAACCTAGTAGCCAGAATTCTACACCAGGAGCTCGCTCTGAAATACGGTCTCGTGGATCGGAAATTGCCGTATTACAAGTACTTGCCGGAAGCCTTGCTCGAAAATGATCTCGCCAGGCTCTATTGGGACCGGGCCATCATCACAGACAGGACTATTCTTGCGAATAAGCCTGATGTTGTGCTGATGGACCGGGCACAGTCAAGGATATTTTTGGTCGACATTACCATTCCGTATGACGAGAACCTCGTGAAAGCCGAAACAGACAAGCAAACAAAATATCTGGACCTGGCTCACGAGGTGACCGACATGTGGGGTGGTCTGCCGACCGAAATTATTCCTGTAGTCGTCTCTGCAAACGGGCTAATCCCAGTCAGCCTCTCGGGTCATCTGTGGCATCTGGGACTACGTGGCGGACCGCTCCAGGTTCAAATGCAGAGGGCGGTGCTCCTCGATACCGCCCGCATCGTCCGCCGGTTTCTTTCCCTTTTCCCCTAACCCTCGGCCGTTTGGTCTCCCCTGCCGAGGGCCTCCATCTGGTTGGGCTTTTATTTATTTATGTACTTTTATATTTATTTTATGTTATTGATATTTATGTATATTTATCTTTTCATTTTCATTTATAATTATATATTTATAGAACCCAACCAGATGAGAAAACTATATAGATACCCCACAAAAATAATAAAAAGGCGTAGGGAAGTAACGACCCCATCGCCCGCTGAAGAAACAGTTAAGTGACAAAACTGCTATGTCGGTGCAGTCAGTCAGCGCCTTGCCAAGAGGTGTGAGCGCCGTGCCTCGGCAGTACTCAGGGTGCAAAGGCCCGTTTGTGCTTACGGCCGTACAATGATACAATGAAACGGTGCCGGGCCTGGGCGTCTCCCGCTAATTGGCGCCCAAAAATGGATGATGGATAAGATTGGAAAACGTATAGGGCCGCTGCCTGGGGGTCGCCCGGGCGCGTCTGGAGCTGGCGCTGGACGCGGCAGCATGCGGGCCGCCAGCCGAGCGCGAGGAGCTGCAAGATCACCTAACAGCCCCCCGCATCCATCATCCCCACCAGACGGCTTGATGTCGGCAGGGTCCTCTCGGACTCGGCAAGCGGCATCCGCCGCTGGTGGAGTGCGCCGCATGCGTTGGACAAGGGATATGAGCGCAAACGCATTGAGGGCGTACTATTGGGCGAAAGGGGAAGAAACTGCGGAGATAGCGTATCGGGCTCGGATGCATTTCTTTTTTGCTGAGCTGAAGCCGTCTATTCCCGTCACGGAACAAAAGCTGGCAGACCGAGTTCGGTACATCATGCGCTCGAAAATATTCGATGATGCCGAGCTCGAACGACTACGACGTGAGGCCATTCCCTCATCGAATGAATTGGCTACGGCTGGGGATGAGGCTCCTCAGGCGACAGACCAGCTGCCACGAGTAGAAGCCGCCATGGATCTTCCAGTTGTGGGTGATTCAGACGATGATGAAATGGTCTCCCACGAACTAGAGCAAATGAGGAGTATATTGGAAGAGGCGATTTTAGAAACGCGCAGCATGCCTCTCGAAAATCGACCGCGACTTCCCCGCATACCCCTAAGCAAATGAAATCGGGCTGTCGTGAGGGCTCTTAACCCAATGCTGGTAACCTATTTGGAAGCCAGCCGGGATCTTTGCGAGACGGACTCAGTTCTTTTTGGCGCCGTAGTGGCAGCTTGCCGTATTATTGGCGCCAAACTTTCCATGGCTGGACGCGCTACTAAACAAAGTAGCGCCATCCCAGCCTGGAGAAAAAGAATTGAGGACCGTATCGCAAAGGCAAGGGCCCTTATCGGCAGACTGATAAGCTTCAGGTCGGATAATAATAGACCGAGGGTTGTGCGCACCGTTAGAATGGCGTTTGCTGGGGCAAATATCAGTTTGTCCTAGCCGGATATCACGCAGAAACTAACGGAGCACATAGACGACCTGAAGCAAAAGATTGCCGCTTGGGGGAAGCGGATTCGCCGATTTACCGAGAGGTCAAGGCGGTTCAACCAGAATCGTCTCTTCCAGAGTGATCAGAAGAGGCTCTACAAATCATTGGAGCGACCAGAGGTATGTGGAGCGGGCCCAGGACCGGATCAGGCTAACACTGTCGCATTTTGGCGTGGCCTGTGGTCAGAGCCCGTAAACCACAGCGAGGGCCCTTGGACGGAAGTTGTGGCGAGTCAGTGTGCGAGTATTACGCCCATGGACCCCGTCATCATAACGCCGGATGACGTAGCTGAGGCGGTCCGTAGAGCCTCGAACTGGATAAGTCCGGGACTCGACGGACTGCATCACTACTGGCTGAAGGGGTTCATGGTGTGTCATGCTGTGCTCGCCCGTCAGTTTCAAGAGGCTCTCAACCAGAAGTCGCTCCCTAGCCTCTTCACTACTGGGATCACTCATTTGGTTCCTAAAGACCAGGTTACCACAGACCCGAGCAAATACCGCCCCATTACGTGTCTACCCACCATATATAAGACACTGACATCCATTTTGAGCGCGAGAATCACTCGTCACCTGGAGCTGAATCAGGTGATGTCACGCGCTCAAAATGGATGTCGGGGCGGTGGTCGTGGAATTAAGGAACCACTCCTCATTGACGCGGTCATTGGCAAAGTGGTGAAACGCAACCGTCGGAACTTCTCCGCCGCCTGGATAGACTACAGAAAGGCATTCAACTCGGTGCCCCATACATGGTTAAAGAGAGTCCTCGAGCTGTACAAGATAGACTGTATAGTGAGAGACTTCCTCGAGCAGTGTATGGGGCAGTGGAGTACGATCCTTTGTCATCTGGGTGAGCGGATGATGGCTGCGGAGAACCACATAAGGATAAGAAGGGGTATCTTCCAGGGCGATTGTCTGAGTCCAATCTGGTTCTGCCTCTCCCTGAACCCTCTCAGTACCTTACTGGAGGGATCCGGGAGAGGATTTCAGCTACGGAAAGGAGGGACAAAAGTGACCCACCTTTTCTATATGGATGATCTTAAGTTATTCGCCTCCAGTCGCTCCCATCTTGTGGAATTGCTAAAAATCACTTGTGAGTTTAGCAGTTCCATTGGAATGGAGCTGGGGACGGATAAGTGTGCTTTCCTCCATGTTGAGAGGGGAAGGGTTGCTAACTCTGAGGGCATAGATTTATCTATGCCCGTCAACTTAAGGACCCTTTCCGAGGCTGAAACATACCGATACCTGGGTATGTCACAGAACATCGGTATCGATGAGGATGGTGTGAAACAGTCAGTTTGCGACGTGTTTTATGCACGCTTGACCAAAGTGCTTAATAGCCTTTTTGTCCGGTGTGAATAAGACACACGCATATAACGGTTGGGTCATGCCTGTCCTTATGTATACCTTTGGCATAACCAGGTGGACTCAGACCGAATTTAACGCCCTGGATAGAAAAGTCTGCACTACTATGACGTCCCATAGGATGCATCATCCGAGATCGTCGGTAATGAGGCTGTACTTGCCGCGAAAGCATGGTGGGCGTGGCTTTCTAAGCGCGCTCACTATGCATAATCGTGAAGTATGCAGCCTCCGTCATTACTTCCTGGCGAGATCGAATGATCCATTCTATAATGACGTCATTTCTAGTGATAAAGGGCTTACCCCTCTATCCTTGGCCAACGAGCAATGGCAGGACCCAGCAGTGCTTAGCATTTCCGACCGGGAGACCGTATGGAAGGAGAAGGAGCTCCACGGGAGGTACTACAGAGCTCTACATGAGCCCTTCGTAGATACAGTCGCCTCCCTCAACTGGCTACGTTTCGGTGACCTCTTCGGGGGAAACCGAGGGTTTTGTCTGTGCAATACAGGATCAGGTTATTAAGACCAACAACTATCGGAGATACATCCTAAAGGATGGCACCGTCGACGTCTGTCGAGCTTGTCGCCATCCGGGGGAGTCACTTAGACATGTCATCTCCGGTTGTTCGGCGCTTTCTAACTCTGAGTACTTGCACAGGCACAACCTAGTAGCCAGAATTCTACACCAGGCGCTTGCTCTGAAATACGGTCTCGTGGACAGGAAATTGCCGTATTACAAGTACTTGCCGGAAGCCGTGCTCGAAAATGACCGCGCCAGGCTCTACTGGGACCGGGCCATCATCACAGACAGGACTGTTCTTGCAAATAAGCCTGATATTGTGCTGATGGACCGGGCACAGTCAAGGATATTTTTGATCGACATTACCATTCCGTATGACGAGAACCTCGTGAAAGCCGAAACAGATAAACGAACAAAATATCTGGACCTGGCTCACGAGGTAACCGATATGTGGGGTGGTATGCCGACCGAAATTATTCCTATAGTCGTCTCTGCGAATGGGCTAATCCCAGTCAGCCTCTGTCAACGCCAGGGTCATCTGAGGCGACTGGGACTCCGTGACGGACCGCTCCGGGCTCAAATGCAAAAGGCGGTGCTCCTCGATACCGCCCGGTTTCTTTCCCTTTCTCCCTAACCCTCGGCCGTTTGGTCTCTCCTGTTGGGCTCTTATTTATTTATGTATTTTTGTATTTATTTTATTTTATTGATATTTATGTACATTTATCGTTTCATTTTAATTTATAATTATATATTTATATAACCCAACCAGATAAGAAAACTATATAGATACCCCAAATAATAATAATAATAATATCCTCGAGACCGAATTTCGACCACGGCGGCCTGCCTCAACGGAGGGTAGCCATCGGCGCAGGACAGGATTATAGTGCACAAGTGCATGCGCAAGAACAGGTTCACTTTCTATTCCCTCACTATCATAATCCGATGGGACGGTAAACCGACACGACCGGAGAGAGATCAGGCGCAGGACCAACGATTTTACGTGCTTTCCGAGGCACGGGGGTGAGACACCGCCAACTTCCTGACTCCGGGCAGCTACTGAGGATTTCTTGACGGAAAAACTTTTTTTTCGCGGGTAGCTTGGTCGGCTGTCAAGTGCTTGTGTCCCGTATTAAAAATTATTTAAATATAAAACAGCATTTTTAAATAAGTAAACAAGTATATTTAAGAACAATTTTAGTAGTGTTATAAGATACATTAGTAGAATAAAGTGAAAACAGTGGTCGTTGGTTGTTACAGTGCAAAATAGTGATCAGCTGTTCGTAACAAGATCAACTGTTTGTCATTAAACCGTATTGCAAATTGCTGCTATAAACATTTAAGTTATTTAACAAACCTTAAATAGTTAAATGTAAACAAGGTAAATAGTATATAGTAAATCGCTAATTATTAAACATTCTTATAATTATACATATCAAATTACATAATTAATACAAACTTCGTACAGCGACATCTATTGGTCTAACTTTCATCTAAATAAAGTACTTGTCAATAAAAATGGCAAATAAGTGCGGCACCTGTGGTCGTTTTGCTTCTACAATTGAATCGATAAAGTGCTCAAGTTGTACTCATTTATTTCATCGCAAATGTGCTAGTATTCCTATTGACGGCCGAATATCAAATAAATGGCAATGCAGCGGTTGTAAGGCAAAAAATGTATGTGCGAGTGGGCTGAACACAATTGCTACGCCCAGTTCGTGTAGCTCGGGCGGCACGGACACAGAGTTCGGCGATGCACAGCTTGGATCCGACGATGGAGGGCGCTGTGAAACTAATGTCGACTTAGCAAACGAGCTAAAATTAATACGCGAGCAGTTGACTACTATTGCCCGCGAAATGGTATCTTTTCGCCAGGAAATCACTAACATTAATTCTAATGTTAGTGAAATAAGTAACAGGGTTAGCGACGTCGAGAAAAGGATCGCATGTCTTGAGCAGCAGGCAACGGACTTGCCGAGTCAACCCGGAGGGTCCAAGGTCGAAGATAGCATAGCGGAGTTAAAGTGTCGACTTAACGAGCGTGATCAAGAATTACTTTTAAACGATCTGGAAATATCTGGTGTGGTGAACAGAAGGGCGAAAACCCCGTGCACCTCGTCACTATGCTTGCGGCTAAAATTGGCACTGAATTGGATGAGCGCGATGTTGTATGTGCAAGGCGTATAGGCATGCGCCGCGAGGAAATACCAGGCAGCGGTGACAAGCGGAGGCCGCGTCCGTTAGTTGTCCGTCTCGCTCGTCGAGTGATTCGAGACAAACTAATTCACGAAGCGCGCGTTCGGCGGGGGGGCGGATACTGCCGGTTTGAACTTAGGTGGCGAGCCGCGCCGATTTTATGTTAATGAGCGGCTCACCTCTATCAATAGGCAATTATTTTATAAAGCACGGGAAGAAGGGCGCCGCAAAGGCTGGAGATATATGTGGACGCGGGAAGGATGCATTTTTGTGCGTCGTGGTTCTGGCTCACCCCGTTATAGAATTCGAACAGAAATAGATATAAACAAAATTTTTGGGGATTGAATAGTTTGAAGCGAATTTTAATCTTGTTCTTTACGTTACTTCTTGCACGATGTCAATTTGGCTGTCGTCTGGATTATAATTATTTCTCAATGATTGTTTCCCCTACGCATCTACGTAGCTGCTATTACGAGAACATTTTATTTTTATTTTTATTTAGACTACATTTTATTTCCATTTTATTATTAGGTTACATTTTATTTTTGTTAAGTTG